CCCCAGCCAGCGCTGGCTGGGGAATTCTGGGAGTTGAAGTCCAGACATCTTCAAGTTGCCAAGTTTGGGAAACACTGCCATAGAGTGATAGTTTTCCCAATTAACTGCATTTTAAGATTTTCTGTAATTATTTTGCAGGGAAGAGATAAATCCTCAAACTTTGAAACCTTTTGCTGAATTTAATCTGGGATAATTTTAGTAGTTTTAATTTCACTAAGAATTTAGCTTGAATCCCCACCGTAGCAAAAATGAAAGTGTTCTTTTAGGATAAATACATACTCAACACTCAGTTCTATGCTGAGATTTTCAATTTGATGAAAGAATAAGGAACAAACCATTAGCATGTGATGGTGTACTTGTGCCTGATAGTGTTGATTGAGTTGGAAACTAGAAAGGAGGGCTTATATATATATATTTTGAAAGAATTACAATCACCAAATTTGTTAAGTAAATGAAGAGGAGCTGACAGTGAGACTTTTAAAATATTATTTTGGTAAGGGCTGTAATTTACTGTTTGTCTGATTTGGCCCAGTTCCTTCAGTGGAAGAGTGATAGGATTCATTAAGAAAGAAAGGTACCATAGATTTTCTCAACTATGGCTGGAATTGTCTTTGTGGTAAAAAGCATTGTGACAGGTCTGCTCGAATGTAATTACCATCACTCTTCGAAAATGAACATTTCTATTAATGTCATGCTTCTCAAAATGATTAGAGAATATTTTACATAGCTACAAAGTAAAACAATACTGCTGATTCATACCCGGTTTTGATGCTTCGATAGGATGCAGAGCGAGATGAAAAGTTGACAGTTTGCTTTAAAGACAGGCATTGAGTCTTAGAAACAAAACACTTCAAGTAGTAATAATAGTCTAAATGTTTACTACAGGATATTTCTTGTATCTTCTCTACTTTCCCATTCTTCCATCACCATCAAAATCCAGAATTCCTTATTGCTTTCATTATTTTGCAGGGGGAAGAACCACTTAGTCATAAAATATCTGTTTATGGAATGATTTCTCCCTAACCTTCCTAGTTAAAAAAATACTAGCTAACCAATGTAGATTAATAGCTTGATATCATGAACAGCTACATTAATATGCAAGGTGTGTTTATGATTCTGGTGGTATATGAATGGAATCAGTAAAAATGCTAAGGTAAATCTGTTTAAAATTTATTAAGTTTATATGCTGCCAAACTCACACGTAAGGCAAGTCATAATATAAATACTTCCAGTGATTACCATTTGACTCAGGAATCATAATTTCCCATCAGTTAGGAATAATGGATTTATTGTCTGATATATTGTTTATGCCATTGCTTATATGATACAGCAGATATGTTGGTGGCAAACAGACCACAGATCTAAATAAAATTTAAGGCATCTTTATGATAGATTAAACAGTATTATTTTCACATGAAACCCATATTTTTCTGAAGTGAATGGGAATTGAATTGTGCATGTTTCTTACTTTAATTTTCCTATCACTTATATCTTACTCCATACACATGGCAGGTTCCTGTAAATGTTGAGCTGTATATGTGCAGTATTGTTTATGAATATGTTACTGGTTTAATTTGTGCTTGAATTCTCCAAATTTTCTCCAAGAAAGCACACTGTGTGTAATCTTTTTCCCCCCTGAAAAACAAAAGCCCCAGGGAAGTGAAGCTAAAAAAAGTCATTACCTGAAGTTCATCCAATGAGCTTCCTGTCTTTAGAAGAACTGTTCTCTAGACCAGAGGTCTCCAACCGTGGCAACTTTAAGCCTGGAGGACTTAAAGTCCAGCCAGGGAATTCTGGGAGTTGAAGTTCTCCAGGCTTAAAGTTGTTGAGGTTGGAGACCCCTGGTCTAGACTCTAGCTCACAAACTTTTATTTATAGACTCCTTGTAGGCTACTGATGATCTTTTGTGATGAAAAGTAGGCTACAAATGAAATAATGAAAACCATAATATTATTCATTTCCTTGGTGATTTGTTAAAAAAAATATCCCTTTATTGTTGAGCTTCAAATAGTTTCTAAAGATTCTTCATTCAGGAATTGTCTTCCTTAGCAAAGGCTTATGGATATGACTCGGCAATAATCATTTCATTATTGCAGAGATGAATGAAGCTACAAATAGAGATTTATTCACTGCAGTACACAGATATCATAGCCCTAACCTAGGCATTTGCACAGGGATCTACATTTTTAAGATTTTTCTTTCACCTTTCCAGGACAGTGGATACAGTACTTGGTGGTTTTCTTGATGGTCTTGAAAGTCACCTGATTAGGGTTGACTAATTAGGGTTGTATAGAGAGAGAGTTTGTGTGCTTGAGAAACTAAATGCTAGTTAGATGGACTTCAGACAATGACTTTTTTTAGCTTCATTTCCCAGGGGCTCTTTTTCGGGAGGGGGAGGGAGATGACAATAATATGCTTTCTTGGAGGAAAGTTGGGGAATTCAAGTCTAATGTCTGTACCTGAGAAGCTGAGAACAGGATGTCAGCCAAGGGTCCTCCCCCCCCCCCCCTTACATCCATCAGTTAGTATTTGGACTCTCATTGTTCAGGTTTTCAAACTTGATTTATATAGCTATTAGCCATGATAACTGTCCCTCAGGATATTTTCTATAAAGTACTGTTGCAAGAGTTATGAAGCACACTGGCAGCACTATAAAGAGCAGTGTTTTTCTCTAGAGACAATTATAATTGTTACTTCAGAGAAGGATGAACAGAGTAGAGAGAAAACAATATACAACCTAAATTGAAAGATCCTGAGGCATGTACTTTGAATATATTTGCTGGGAAAAAAATCAGCCCGTCTTACTGCAAGGTTTAATAGCATGGAGTGTTGCAGTTGCAGAGGTTGGTACATTTGGAGTTTTTAGAAGTAGTTGACAACTTATAGGAAATTACTTTAATATGGCACTTCAGGTCTCTCTTTTTATTCTGGCAACATAAATCTTCCTGTTAATTGTTAATGCTTGCTGAGTCTTAATTTAAGTTCAGGTCCCCAGTTTTAACAAGAGTAAATATTGATATACAAGGGTGCTACCGGAGATTTGATAGTCTGCAGTGATTCTATTTTTATGTATGCTTAAAAATATATTCTATTTAGAAATGGAAATGGCAACTGATCTATGCAAAAATAATAATAATAATGTGGCTTTTAGTCAGATCTGTTTCCAGTCTTTGAACCAACATAATTCTTAAGGGAAGTTCTGTCTGAATTAAATAATTCATTGTAACTTTCTTTAATCCTTGTTCTCCCGGTCTTTCATTTTGCTCTTACAACAATATCTGTAAATTATATATGTTTGAAGACTAAATACCATAGGTTCTTATAGGTCTTCGGTATGTTATTCCAAATTGTAGTGTGAGTTTGTTTGACCTTTATAGCCATTTTTGGACTCAACCTGGACTGACTGATTTCAGTTCTTCAACTACTATTTTGCAAAGATTCTTTAGATATCATTGGAAAAGTTTGCATTTATTTGGGGGCATGTCTATTTCTATAAATATAGAATAAGGTTTATTTCATACAATCATTTTGTGGATTTAAAATGTTGCGAGTTCTTCAGGTTCTGCAACAAGAAATTGAGGTCTCTGAAATCCAGATCCAATTTCACCACTAGTGTAATTCAGCTTAGCATGTGAAGTGGCCATGGGGCCAAAGCATCCTTTTGCTGTACTTTGGAGCTGCTAAATATTTCAGAGTTTTTCCCGTGCACATTTTTGTTTGCACCACTGAAGATTTATAATTATGCAGTTCGACTTTGTGTTTGAGATGGAATCTGGAAGCAGCAGAAGAATAAACTATTGTAGCCTTGCCTAGCCTAATGCCCTCCAAATGTATTGGCCAGCATGGCAGAAAAATTTCAGAGCCTTCCAGAAGAAATCAGATCAGTGAAGGTGGCCTAAAACCAGATATGGTTCACACTCACAGTCCCCAGAATTCTCATTGTCTTTACATAAAGAGCTGGAAGGGAAGATGGAGGTTATCCAGTCTAGGCTTCTGAATGATGCCAGACTGGTAATGCTGGGTAAAACTTCAGCATTTCTAAGACTTTGCCATGATGTTTTGGTTTATAAAACACGAACTGTTCCAGTGTCACCAGTACGTTTCTCCTAATTTTTAGCCAAGATCTCCTTGCAGTGGTTGTGGTCCTCTCCTCTGAGGCAATTGAATGAGTCCATTCCCTTTTTGGGGTAAGACAGTTTTATTAACACTTTAGATGACCTTTGGTATACAGGTAGTCCTTGACTGACAACAGTTCGCTTAGTGACCATTCAAACTTACAACGGCATTGAAAAAAGTGACTTATGACTTTTCCCCCCACACTTATGATCATTGCAGCAGCATCCTCATGGCCATATGATTTACATTCGGATTCCTGACAACTAA